TCCTCGCTCGAGCGAAGAAAAGCTCGCTCGAGCCAAAAACTCGATGCTTCAGGTCTGCAACCCAGAAGCTCGCTCGATCGAAGAAACTCTCGCTCGAGCGAAGAAACACTGCTCACAGGTCTATACTAGATGCAAACACTCGCTCGAGCGAAGAAACCCTGGCTCGAGCCACCAGACACAAAACTCAACCCTCGCTCGAGCGACCAAACTCTCGCTCGAGCGACCAATCCAAATTCTGGACAGTAACACCTGGTTTCCAAACCCAACCAATCTAAAACAAACCTGCCCAACACATTCCGATAACTCAAAAAGAGAAAATAAAGGATGACAACCACAATTATACATTGAGAGAATCCAGGGAACCTAAGTCCGGATACAACAACCAAAAGGAGAAAGACCGGGGTCGCTATAAAAGTTGACAAGAAACAAACTTACTTGGGGACTGTTGGATCTCAAGAAGCTGCTGTTCGTTTGTATGACAGGTATTAAAATGGTTTAGCTGTACATACACATAGAAGTTCTTAATTGTGAACTTTGTTCATAATACTATATTTTGTTGCCATTTCCATTTGAATTATTATTTGTGAACTTTGATCATAATACTATGTTCTGCAAGATCAGGTACTATATTGTTATTTTTTTTCTTTTCAAAATAGGATTTTAGTATTATACACATTCTTTGTTACTTTGAATGCATTCCTAATAGACCGCAAATAAATAGTACCAATCTCTTATAGTTCAATGGGTTTTAAGTTTTCCAATCAGTCATAGGTTTGATGTTTACTCCATGATTGTTACATTATGAAGGCATGGAGATCAAGATTCAATGAAAACATATAAAATTGTACAATTTAGCTCTTTGGAATGTTTGGATGACACTAATTCTTGTACCCTTTATTCATATATATATGTAAGCAAATAAATTTTTCATGTACACTTTACGACGAATAAATTTTTGACTAGAATTTCCTTGTTTTTATTATCAATTGACTTGAAACTTCTTTGTTGACTCATTTATTTGGTATATTTTAATTTTTACTAGCAATGTCAAACATTATTTAGTTTTGTTATTTTAATTGAAAACCTTCTTAATCCTTTTCCTTTTTTCTTATATTTTTTTCCCTTCAGCTCATTTGATACATGCTTATGGTTCTTGAGTAGCAGGCAAGCATTTTTGTGACCAGAAACAACCACGCTGAATGCTGAAAAATGCTTCTCATTGCTGAATGAGTTTTTTCATAACTTGTTATTCAGCATTCACATGTTGCGTTGTGCACCAAATGTTAATTAACCTTAGAACACTTGGTTTGCAATGGATTAATTTTATAAATTAAACTTACAAGCTTAAATACTTAAGTTGCTTGGATCTTATGCCTCAAGGTTTCACCTCCTCTAACGATGGGAGGTTTTTTTGCTTTCCTTTCTTGGCTTTGTATGCTGTGGTGAAGAATGTTCCTGATATTTAGTTTTCTCAATGTTGCTTGTGATCAAATCTTATTATCCTCTTTGGCCCTCACCAACTGTTGACTATTCACTATTGCTATTATTTTATTTTTATCTTACACCCATCATTTTTTTTCAGGTGCCAAGGGTCATTGAACTAAGTTCTTTTATGAGTCAACAATCCTGGTAAGCACACAATTGATTCTCATAGTATGGTCTATCTTCATTTTATTTTATTTTTTGATTGACAACAAAGAGTATCAATAAAGATTAAAATAAAAGTACAAAAGGATAGGCTTGCCTTTAAATTAAATGTGTATTTATCTATTCAATCATTTTAAATCCAAATGAGGATTGATTGAGGAATTCTATGATTATCAACTTAAATTTTCCACGAAACCTGAAATTTGAAAATATTGCTGATGCCTTAGGGAATTATTGGAGATGCTGCTATTTCCATGGAATTTGATCTCAGATGCTTACGGTTATAAATGGTTTAGCACCTACTCCATCATAATTGGGATGACAAAAAGGTCTTTTACATGCAACAAGTATTGGTTTTTTGGGAATTTTTTTTCATTCCATTCCATTCCATTTTTGTACTTAAATCTTATTTTTTTTTATAATGCCAATCTTATTCCTTTTTATTACATACTCTTAGAGTACATGTGACATATAGGCAATGCTACATGGAATTTAGGATTTTTTAGATTGTAGAAAATAGTTTCAAAACCTCTATTTTGGCTGGGCATCACCACAAGTTTCAAAACCTCTTATTGTAGTAGTATTAGTTTATAATACTTTCAAATTGGAAAAATAATATTGTAGACCTTAGTTTATAAAATATTCATATACATTAGTGTATAAATTTTTTTGATTGCATATATATATATATATATTTAAATTACATATACATTCATCCATAAATTTAGAGTGCAAATTTCAGTTTGCCCCCATGGTTCAACTCAAGCTTCATAAACTTTAATGGCCAACAATAAAACCAATACACAGAGTGCTACATTAGCATATGGTTAGCTCATAGATTGGTTGTTCAAATCTATAACTTTTTTGATGCTTATATATGCCTTTTCTCAATTATTTTGCTAGATTTTTGATCAATTGAGTGGTTGGGTCAGTGGGACATTGGTTAAAGTTTGGATTTG